ATGCTGTTTTTTTCATTCTGGGAAAATAATGAATGGATGTTGTGTATAAGATAATTCAACATTTTATATCATTGTTTCCACAAATCTAACTGAAAAAGTCCGTATGTGTAAAATTTTACGAGTCTATGGATAATCTGCTTAATGTAGTCAAAAGGTAAATATTTTTAAGTCAATAATTGTTTTTATTAATATAATCACTGGTTTCATATACCTTCAGAGAATGAGCTTTTTAGATAATTGTAACACTTGTTGAAATAATTATCTTGGGTACTTTTTCTCTTAATTTGAATAGAATTAGGGAAATCAAATTTTAAATCAAATTTCATCAACTTGGAACTCAGGAAAAAGCAAGTATGAAACATTAAATTGACTATTATGTGATTGTAGCTTTTGTAGGAATACCTATACTTTGGTATGATGGATGGAAACATTTGTCTAGGGCCTAAGTCACTTAAAATACAAATGAAATCTAATTCTTGCTTAAGGCAAAATCTAGTTAAAATAATCTAAGAGGTATTTTTCATTAAGGTAAATGAAAAAATATTTTAATGTGGTTACGTCTAACAAGTCAGTAGAACACATAGGAGGATGAGAATGTTTTGTATAGGATAACTGGAAGAAGTAGAATTTGATCATAACACTGCAGTATAAATAGATATTGTTCTTTATGTTTAGAATATTCTCCCTCCCAGTTGGAAAGTGCTGAAAAAGCTTAGTAGGTTTAAGTGATGACTGCCTGTTTCTGTGAAAGAATTTGTTTAAGTCCTTGAGTTAATGTTAAGAAGCACAAGGATAGTTTCTTATAGATATATTCAACTACTGTGGCAAAAAAAAGAGAATAGAATAGAATAATGAAGGTAAGGACACAGGGCAAGCCAGGCTGATAAAATGTGGAGAATATATTAGAAAACTGACATGACTTGTAAAAAGATCTTTTTGGCTAAAATCTTTTAAGATCAAAATATAGAGAAAGCTTTTCAAATTGCACATTTGAATCACGTAGCTGCCACTTCTTATGTTAATAAAGGGTTTTGACAGTGTGCGGAGTCTGAAAGCTTACGTGAATAATATTTGCATTGTGGAAATATATTGATCATTGAACTTTACATAGTATTGTTATCTTTTAATGGTCTTGGATGTCAGGATGTTACGGTCATTTAAGAGTTCAGAAATGAATGTACTGTGAGCCCAGTGTACATGTTTTGCCAAACCCTACAAACAGAAAATAGATAAAAGAACAAATAATGCATTTTATTAGCATGAATGACAAATACTGAAACATTGGAGCTGAATGTAGTATTTGAGAGATTGCACTTTGTCTTTCTTCAGTTGCCACTTAGCCCATCATTGGAAACCTGAAGTTGACTGTTGGCTCTTTGACAATGGGATGATGAGTGACAAAAGAAGAGTGACACAAGCCTTAGTGAGGTCTTTACCACTGACTTCCTCTCTACTCTGGGTTGAGGACTTTCCCTCTTTGGTGCTTACTGCTTGGCCATGGCAGCACAAACCTTGTGTCATAAGGATGTGAGGAGTTAGCACGGGGCCTCTACTTCGGGATCAGAGAGACGTGCTTTCAAATCCTGCTGCTGCCAATCACCAGCCGTGTGACTATGGACATGTTATTTCGCCACTGCATACTTCAGTTTCTAATCTGTAAAATGGGGTCAAACTACTTGCTTTATAGGGTTCCTGTGAAATTATATGAGATGCTTAGTTCAGTGCCTGGCACATAGTAAGCACTCAATAAATTGTTGCTATTATTATTATTAAAATATGAGTAAGCATTTCATAACTAGAAGATGATAGTTTATTCCTTTCTTGAAATATTAACATTTATTTTCTCTCAAAACAAGTTATGCATGATTTGTTCAAGAGAGGAGAAGTAATAAGAAGTGAATTCTAGTATTTCTTTTTGTTGTTGATGAGGGATTCCTGAAACAATAATTTCTTTGTTGTTAAATTATACCTTGGCCCACAGTGATCACTCATACTATATTTATAATGTGATTATGATTGGGTGATATTTATAGAGTGATTCGAAGTCATGACTTTTAACATGAACACACTCTTATTATCTAGAATATAATCTTTTCACAAGGATGGTTCTTCATAACTGGCATCTGAATTTCGTCATATTTACCATATTTGTGGTGGCACCTGAGTATTTTCAAGTAGTGGTGTTTAGAATTCTGAGTACTCATGACTTTTGTGTTTTATCTGCTGAGCAGTAGAACTGTCACTGCCTTCATTCAAGCCCTCACTACCACTTAGTAGTATCAATTTAGTGGCCTCACATCAAACTCTTTATATCTATGTCTATATCTATATCTATATCACTATCTATCTATCTATCTATCTATCTATTTATCTATCTATCTATCTTTCTATCTATCTATCTATCATCTATCTATCTATCTATCTATCTATCTATCTCCCACATGGCTTTATCTTCCTACATCCAGTGGTGCACTTTTTTTTTTACCAAGAGTTTCTCATTCATCTTTTGCCAGAATAATTTCAAGTCATCTCTATCTGTGTTCTCTGCTGCAAAAATGCCTTCATGCTCCCTTTCAGGTTCTTCCCAGAGAGTAGGCATTGGAGATTTTTGTTGTTTTACATGCAAAAGTCAATTTTCTTTCATTCTTCTGACTCCTCTGAAAGTACAACACAATAATGATTGTCTCATTTGTCTGATTTTTTTCTACCATTTTGTTGTGAAAATTTACCAACATATAGCAAATGTTTCAATGTTATGTAAGACCTTTCTTCTTAATTAACTTTCCCTGTGTACAGTTCTCATACATATATTTCCTCCTTCAAAAACCACCAGTGACTGCCCATCATTTATGTATTCCACTGCTTGATCTTTAAATCATGGCTTAATCCCAGTGCACCTTACCAGTTTTGTTGCATGTGTCCTCTTTCATGTACTATACTTGATTGTCCCTATTTTCTTCAGCCTTATGTAAATAATGTCAACTCTGATCCTTCTTCCTTGTCATTTATGTTTTGATGTTTTAGATCAAAAATTCTGTGTATTACCTAAAACCAAGATGCTTGAGATATACCTAACAAGTTATAATCTATTTCTTATTCTCCTCCAAAATATGCCCAATCTCAGGGAGTGTCTTTCTCCCATTTTCTTCTTAAGCCTGTGGCCTGCTAAATCAATCCTAATTTATCTTCACAAACTCTGGCCCTCTTAGTTGAGCTTCTGAATACAAGATATTCAGTTTTGGCTCTAAATATAAGGTTTCTTATACAGGTGCTGGAAATCATCGCCCACAGATCTAAACTCTATTCTTAGATTCTCACCAACCTCATCTTCTCATTAGCATCATATCACGTGAAATTTTCTGTATCCTCTCGCATGTGAAAGCTATCCTGAAATGTACTTAAGTTTACAGTACTCTAGATTTGGCACCTAGACAGGGCTTGCTATATGAAGCGCCAAAGGCCAAATCCAACCTAATTGTTGTTTTTTAAAACAATGTTTTATTGTAACACAGTCATCTCCAATCATTTATTTATTATATATGGCTGTAATAAAGTAGCAGAGATGAGTACTTGTAACAGAAACTATACAGCTTTAGGGCTGGGGAGATAGTTAAAGACTTCAATATATACTATGTGATGCTTTACAGAAAATACTTACTGAAACCTCAGAGAACGCCAAATATTTTCCCTAGCCTAGACACTGCTTATTCTGTCAACTCCTAAATGCCCAGAAGGCTGGTTAATTGAGAGTTTAAGGAGAGGTTCTCAATCATTCAAATGGCTTGTTTTCCCCTGTTTCCTCTGTGCCATATTCTTAAAATATCCTTTTTTTGTGTTTTGCGTTTTTTAGTTGAAGCAGTGCTATTGTCATAAAAAATAGTCTTATGTTTGCCTTTTAATATAACACATAGATCGTAAGATACAAGGCTTTCAGCATTATAGACTTTGCTCTACTCATGGACTTTAAATATCTCTAAGGCCTTTCCATTCTTCATTGTCTCTAACTGAGGTCTTCTAAGCTTCATATGTTTCAAACATTTCTGATCACCAGCTCTCTCCCATATTATAATATCTAAATCTTCATGTCTTTGGCCTTTAGCATCCACAGTGTTCATGTTGCCTTATCTTTAAAATCATTCATGGTCTAGGACTTCCAATATCTCCATTAGTCTTCAAGGTCTTGATTTTGTTTTACAGAGTTCAGAGTTCCAACTTTCCAACACTCTATTGTTCTGATTCTGTAGTATTTCTTACATACAGTTCTTCCAGAGTCTATGTATTTCATATTGTCTAAATCCAATTTGTCTTATTTCTTATAATACTTATAAAATTCATTTCAAATATCTGTCAATGTCTCCTGCATCCTGGTTTTAGAGTGTCATTTTGAAAATTATCAGTTGACGTGTTTGGCTATCTCCAAGGACTTGGCCTTCCAAAATTGATGTATTCTAATATCCCCAGTGTCTGAATTTACTAGGTCTCTTAATATACAGATATCTTAATACCCAGGTCTCCTAATACCCATAGTTGCCAGCTTCTTTGAATGCCAGCATCATTAAAACTTATGTCTACATTCTATGTCTTTTGACTGAAATATGTCAATGTTCAAGGCTTTTGGTGTGTTCTAATATCTAAACCTTGTGATTTGATGAGTTTTGAATGTCTGAGTCTTCTATTTTCCATATCCACCATTTCTCAGGGCCCCAAAGGTTAAGAATTTGTAATGTTTCCAGCATTTAAGGCTTGTAGTGCCTGTAGCTTCATGCCCTCAGTATCCCAACGTTCAGGGTATCCAAAGTCTACAATGTGCAGAGTAAACAGTGTCTCCAAATTACAAGACTTTCAATGTCTCCAACATCCTGTGCTTCCAATGTTTCCAATTTCCAGGGTTTCCAATGGCGCCAGTGTCAAGATCTTCCAGCAACACAAAGATCTTCCAACAACCTCAGCGTCTTCCAGATAATCCCGGTCTTCCAGAAGTTCCACGTCTGCCACGCAATTTATGTCTTCCAGAAAATTAATGTCTTCCACAATGTCCCATGTCTTTTGGTAAATCCTGTCTTCCAGAAGCAAATCCAGATCTTCCAGGAAAATCCATGTCTTCCAGAAAAATCAACGTCTTCCAAGAGTTTAAAAGTCTTCTTGTGAGTTTGTGTCTTCTGGGAAAATCTGTGTCTTCCACCAAATCTAAGTCTTCCAATAATTTCCAGTCTTCCAGAAAAATCCATGTCTTCCAGTTGATCAATGTCTTCCAAAAAAGAAATCCAGGTTTCCAGCCAGCCAATGCCTTCAAGAAAAATCTTGTTCTTCCAGTTAATCCATGCTTCCAGCCAACCTATGTCTTCTACCAACTCAGATGTTCCAGTCAATCTGTGTCTTCCAGACAAATTCTGTGTCTTCCAGTAAATCCAGCACTTCCTATAAAGCCGTGTCTTCCAGAAAATTCATGTCTTCCAGGAAATCCCCAGGTCTTCCAGCCAATGTATGTCTTCCTGAAGATTCAAGTCTTCCAAAAAATCTACATCTTCCACAAAATTCATGTCTTCCATAAACCTTCCAGTTTTGCAGCAAATCAATGTCTTCCAAAACAATCCAGGTCTTCCGGAGAATTCGGGTCTTCAAGAAAATCCATGTCTTCCAAAAAATTCAGGTCTTCCTGAAAATCCACATCTTCCATCAAATCCATAGCTTCCGGAATATCCATGTCTTCCAGAAAATCTATGTCTTCCAAGAAAAGAAAAGCCATGTCTTCCAGAAAATTTGTCTTCCACTGAAGCCATGCCTTCCATCAAATCTATGTCTTCCTACACCTCTAGAGCTTCCAGCATCTCCAGGGCTTCCAGCATCAGCTCGTCTTCCACCACCTCCATATCTTCAGGCATCTTCAGCCCTTCCTACAGCTGCACAGACTTCCATCAGCAGGCTCAAAATCCACATCTTCCAGCGTCTCCACTGTACCGGCCTTCTCATACCTGGGTCTTCTACTATCTACAATATTCAGGTATTTAATTTTATTCTGTAGTCCAGGTCTTATAAGCTTTCCTCAGAACAAGGATTTTGCAAATCTACCTTCTGTTCAAGATTTCCCACATTCAGGTCTTTCCACGGGGATATCGCCATCTCACATATTCCTGCCTTTAGTATAATTAGCCTCAAAAAGTTAATAGGACATTCCTTCTTACAGGCCAGATTTTACAGATCAACTGTAATTTAATTGTGTTTTTCAATATTAGAAAATGTGTATTTATTGTGCACAAATATTTGAAGATCATGTTCAGCAAAAATCTTTACAAAATAAACAGATTGTTACAGTAAATTTTTACAACTTTTCAATGCTTATAGTTTTTAAAGTAAACTATGCTTAGGTGCAAGTGAAATTTTATACCTATGAGAAAAATTTATATTTGGAGACTATTATTTTAGATAAAATTCCAGACATTGTATCTGTATTTGATGTTTAAATAACATCAATTTTTACTTGTTCTTATGTATAATAATAATAATAATAATAATAATAATAATAATAATAATAAATAGCATTTGCTGTGTCCAGGCACTGTTCTAAGATCCTTACATATATTCATTCATTCAGTCTTCACAATCATCCATTAAGGTACGTATTATCATTATCCCCATTATGCAGATAAGGAAACTGGTACACAGAATTGAAGCAATTCATCCAAATGACAAAACTAGTAAATAATAGATTCAGAATTTTAATCTTGCTAACCTGTTTCCAGAGTTCATGATCTTAATCACTATTTTACAATACATACCATTGAAAATTGAGATGAGAATTATGAGCTCTAAAGTTAATTGGTCCCATACTGTGTTTCAAATATGAAATCATATATACAAATGACCTTGTCTATCCTGTCACTACTAGAACCTATTCATATCCAGAGTTTTCATTCCTCAATCAGCTATTGCCACTCTTCATTCATGTATATGGAAGTAGGTGCCATTGCTTCCACATACCACATTTAGTTTTAACAGAAAAGTATGAAGGAACACTGACTTCACATACCTGTGGCTTTAGAATCATATGCACAGGGACTGGGGAGATAGCTCAGTAGAATAAGTGCTTCCCTGGCAAGCACAAGGCCCTGAGTTCAATCCCTGGTTCTGAAAAAAAAAAAAGAATCATACGCACAGCTTCATGCTTTGAGTATAGATTTTTGGAATTTAACTTTTCCATTCACTTTAATCCTTTATCACTCACCTCCCAATTTGAACCTTACTGTTCAAACTATCATTAGTTTGTTTTTGACTTCCAGGATCCAACTCCTTCTCATATCAGTGACTTCCTTGGGCTGCTGACCATTGCCTTGTATTCAACTAAGGGTAACTACGTCTCCTTAAATCCCAACATGTTGATCTAGAGAACTAACTGTTTGGTTCTCCATGTCTGTGCTCTCACCAAAAACTTCCAGAAATGTATTCATGCCTCTGAACGTTATGAACAACATGAAAGCCACACAATGAAGTTATACTTGGCGAAATAATATCTTAAGGTCTAAAAATCATCTACCACGTAATGCAAAGGAATCAAAACAATAATAATTAGAATAGCAATTCCTTCTGAATTACAGTTTACGACCTTCTATCACTTCATTTGTCCATCCATCCATTCAACAAATATTTATTGAGTGCTAACTGTGTGCCAGGCTAGCTTTAATAGAACTTAAAATTGGCTGGACGGTGTAAAGACAATGTGCAAATAATTGAACAGTTATTCATTAATTGTAGTAAGAACGTTAAGGAAAAATAAGGATAGAACCTGTGAGAATTCAGAAAGTCAAGGAAAGTGTTCTTGAGGAAGAAATGCTCATGATGGCTCTCAAGGATATTGTCTCTCTTGGTAAACAAGACAAGCTTGTAACTTAGGGACAGCAGATTTTTTTTTCCTGGCAGTTTTACTGAATTAGCATACTGACAATGAATGTGGGGTCTAGGTGTTTGGACTGTATTTTTTATCCACTACTCTGTTTTATCTTCATGAAAGAATATAAAAAATGTTTGTATTCTTTAACTCAGTTTTGTCACTTTGAGGAATCTATCCAAGAAAATTGTTTAAACTGTGAATAATTAATGCAAAAAATGTTCTTCACATACTCATTTGGTAGCAAATGACAAAAAAACCTGAGTCTATCTTTAAAGGAATGATTAAGTAAATGTGCTATTCATGTATGATGTGATATTATTCCATTAAAATACATTCTACAAAGTTCAGTGGAACATCAACATATGTGATGGTATCAGATGTAGTTTCAAATATTTTAAAATTCATATCCAAGGACAGATGACCAGAAGTAAACAGTTTGGAGACTGTGAACAACTTATCACTGGCTGAGTGGGATTGTATATTTCACTGTTTTCTTCTTTGTATGCTTAGCAGTTTTACACAATGTCTTTACAGTGTGCTGGCATTTTCTGTTCAGTCAAAACATGTCAATAATTGTGCACAAATTAATTATGATTTTATTGTACGTGCAATCAATTTTTATTGAAAATACTTCAAAATAGAGTGAAAATGCCATTTTTTAAAATAATCTCAATCCTTGCAAATAATCACTGTAAAGTGTTCAGTGTTTGTTTTAGGCTCTTTCATAGTTGTGTTTATTTTCTTTTATAAAATGGAATCCTTCTATCATTTGATATGTGTCTTTAACTTAGCAGTAAAGTGTGAACAGCTTTCCATGTCAGTAACTGCACAATTGTTATAATTTTAGTGTATAATTTGTTTATGCCATGTCTTTTTATTGAATGTCAAATTCCTTCTAACTTTGGCATTATACAAACCTGTTGTGATGAGTACATACAATACACCAGTTGCGCAGAACACACACCACATCATCCTACGTGGTGACCTTGCACATTATTGTGTATAAATATGTTCAGATTTATTTAGCATCAATAGTGAAAAACAATTACTGAGCTCAAGGGCAGATTCAGCAAACTGCATATCACAGCAAAATATTACAAGCAGTCCCGGTACTCAATTTTTGTGTGTGGTTAAAAATTATAACAATATGATAGTATATATTCCTGGCATTTAAATTTATGCCACAGAAGAATATTTACTGAAAAAGGAATGTGATCACAAAGTCTCATAAAGGAGAGGAGTGGGTCACATCATAGCATGTATAATGATCTTTTGTATAAGGGAAACTATATAAATGGCCTCAGAAAAATGGCCAAAAGATATGCACTAAAATGTTAGTAGAAACCCTCCCAAACAGAAAATGGATAAAATACAGTATGTTTATACAATATAATATCATATAGAAGTAGGGGCCAGGAGATAGCTCAGTTGGATAAGTGCTTGCCTGGCAAGCACAAGGGCCTGAGTTCAATCCCTGGATCCAGAAAAAAAATATATATATATGTAGTATTCGATCTGCACAAAATGATATGAGCAAATTTTACTTCTAGAAGGTGACTTAAAATAAAGTCCCCCCAAAACACATAGAATAGTATATCCTTTTTATATTATTCCCAAACACATCAAACTAAATACTATATTATTTAGGCTACAAGTATATGGATACAAATAACTTAATAAAAGGGAAATTAATATCAATCAAAAAATTGAAGTTAATGGCCTTTGGTGTTGAGAAAGCAGAATCAGAAGAGTGAAGCTCACACAAATGGATTTAAGCTATTGTAAACATCCTAGTGCTTGGGTTATGTGGGTAGTGGTTGGATGGAACTATTTCATTAAAATCTTATTATTGATTAATATTTTATGGATTATTATCATTGAAATTGAATGCCAAAACATGATAATGGATAAAAATAGAAGATCATGCATGAATTAGTGAGATAATGCGCATGATTTAATTTTGGGCTCTGGACTTTATATGTAAGTGGCAAGAATATGTGATTTTGAATCTCTTTGAATCTGTTTTCTAGAGTTCATATTTTGAACATGTATTACCTTGGAAAATTTGAAATAAGCAAATGTTCTTAAATGAGAAAATGCAATATTATATTTAAAAGCCAGCCCAGAATTATATAGAGACCTAACATGTATTTAAAATGCCTAACAAGGACTGAAGAGTATTGAAATGTTACAATAGTCATCTCTGTTTAATGAGATTTCAAATTTCTTTTATTTCTGTTTCCCTATGTATCTATATCTATAACTGTATCTGTATCTGTATCTGTATCTATGTTTATGTCTCTGTCTCTATCTATCATCTATCTAATTTTCTATATACAATTCAAATAGTATACGGTAAGAGTTTATTTGTTGTTAACAATTAATACATGCTTATTATGAACTGTAGAAAGGCAGCAGTTTATTAAGGGAAAATAGAAAACATTCCCTTTCTAATCCCACTTGGCAGAACCAACTGTGATTTTTTATTTGCTATGTATATTCCTAGTACTTTTTCTGTTAATGTGTGTGTGTGTTATGTTTTACAAAATGCAATCATTCTACATGTATTATTGTACAACTTTCTTTTTTCTTTTTTTCCCATAATTTTATTGAGAAACAAATAGCAATGAGACAGTTTCAAATCAAATTGGTAGGACAGTTTCAATAATTAACACATTTCATACCTTCTTTCTAGTGGTTAATTGCTGTAGAAGATGCGGACATGATATCCTATCTACACACACCATTAGAACAGATCCCTCTATTTATTAAAAGAATGTAACTATCTGTCTATCCTAACCACTTTGAATACGCAGATACAAAATGGACATTCATTTGTATCCAAAAGTTGTTTTCTTACA